TTCCAAATTCTCATTTTGCACACTATTACACATGTAGTTGTTATGACTGTGGCAAGGGGGAGGAATAAGATGCACATCAGCTACAAATTTGGAATGAGAAAATCAGACCCACTGGAAAACCTTTTTCTTTTCTAGTGTGAATATATTCCAGATCAATGTGTATTGTGTGAGGAGATAAATAGTGCTAAATTGCTGTACTCTGGACAAAATGGCTAGCAGCTCCTGCAATACACTGAAAGTTTTGGAACAAATGCTTGAAAGTATATCATGAATAATTAGCGTGCCATTCTTGTCTTTAATAGTGGGCATCAAGAACTTCTGAAGCAGATATGGCAGACTCAAGACTCCAAAGTTCGTGAAGACCTAGAACGGGAGCTGGATTGCCTTGTAAAACAAATGGAGATTAAAGGAGAACAAATATCCAAGCTGAAAAAACATCAGGCTACTGTAAGAATAAGATGTAAACTCTCTAGCTGATAACACTCTAGTTGAAGGCTGCCACAACTCTGCCTCCTGTTGTCTTTAACTAGAATGTCACTGGAGTGCTTGGGCCAGGATGTTCCAGTATGGGTGATTATAACTAGGCTGCTAGGTCAGTGTTCTTGTCCCTCCAGTTCCTTCTTTTGATCAAGAACATGTGCTTACAGCTGGCAGCTGGGTGTCCATGCTAGTGATCTATGATAGTATCTATCCATGCTGCCCTGTGGCAGTTCTGCAATACGGAGCTGAGTTCCTCCATCTGTCACTTCTGCTCTCTGTGTTAAGACAAACTGTTGAGATTTCATTGCTTTGTGTCCCGTCCCTCTGGGAAATGAGAAAGAAGCTATAATTCCTACACAGACTGAATTAAATATCTTTTATATTACTGAAATATTGAAGCTTTCTATTAAGCAAATAGTCTGTTGACCACAGCTTCTCCAAAGTCATACCCAGACAAGCCTTTCAGTTTTGTTTAACTTCTAACCTGTACACATTCTGTTGGTATTTGTTTTAGAGCCATAGATAACACCTTTTCATATGTGCTTGTATAAAATCACTCTTCTGTAGATGAACAACTTAACCCTTTTGTAGCAGTTGGGTTAGAAACAGAATAAAAAATACAATCCATAGTTAGGATAGTTTTCTGTTATTCCATCTTATGTTTCAGGATAAATAGACTTACTTAAGAACTACACTTATACAGAAAACAAAACAAAACTCAGTGTGAGACCTTATGAAAGGGGGACATGATAGTTAATTTAAATCTGACCAATTTTATTCAATTTCATTCTTTGATAGATTTTGTTCACTCAAACCTTTTGTTGTCCACATAATTGCAAGCACAAAGGTGCTTATGTCGAAGTAGAGTTGTGAGAGTTGCTTGTTAAGAATATGGATTAAGGAAATTGACTGTTGAGTCCTCACTGCTGTCTTGGCAATGATGTCAACTGTATTCTTGAGGAGCCGACAATTACGGTGCTCTTCCTTGCCTCAGAATCTTGCTGACTTCATTCTCCAGGAGCCTTAGACAATGGACAACAACTGCACCTTTGTTTCTTCCTTTTGCATACCTTTATGGCTGCAGTCTGCCTTCATTTTGGGACGATGAGAAGAGGAACAGCACATGCGATGCAGTGCAACCTTCTTGTCATCCTTGCCCATTATCAGAGTGCAGATCTGCTGGCAAGTCTTCTGTGCTCTGGTACAGCGTTATCAGAGCACACGCCTTAGAGTCATGGTGTAAATAGCACATTCTTCGTGCTTGTCTGCTTGATTACTGTCCATCATGCCCTGGTTATCAATACAGGCCACTCCTGTAACCTTTGGCCTGTATTGGTTTTTCTCCTGTGTTTACACTCAGACGTTTCTGTTTGTGTTTTGTACAGACCAATCTTAATATTTCTGATGCATATTTCTGCTTTTAGAACCTGTCACACTAAAAATGCTGTAGTCGTCTCTGTGTTTCACAGTTAATAATACGTTCTAGAATGCAATTAAAGTTAATTATTTTTAGAAATGGACTGAAAGCCTAAATTGGCATATGGAATGCTTCCAGCCTAATTCTATCTTTGGGAGTGACCTTTTCATGTCAAGTGCAAGTCAAGACTTTTTATTTGACATTTAAAAAAACATTCTTTAGCAATCATCAACCCTATTTATTCTTTTTTCCAATTTTGTTATGAGGCTTCAAAGTAAACTGCTTAGATACAGTAACTGATAGTAAACAGTATACATTTTATAGGTTTGTTGGAGGGTTTTTTGCTTAGAGTAGTACAATCTGAAATGGAAAAAGACTGCTGTAAATATAAATTTGCAACAGATGATATTCCATCCAGCAAACATTTTTACCTTAGGGAGTGATGAGATTCAGCAACCTGTTGAGTGTGGGTGAGGTCAGTTTTCTGTGATGCTTTCTGTGTGGATGAGGTCAGGTTTTTTTAGTACTTTCTGTTACAGCGAGACAACTGTGTGCAAGGTTAGTAGATTTTAAGTTTTTTTAAAATATCCCGTAGAAATCTTTAGTTTGGAGTTTGGTAGAAGTCCAGTAAGCTTTGCAACTGTAGGTCTTCCAAGTATGTAGCATTCCAATTACTAATTTTTCTTCCTAGGTGCAGAAATTAAAGAGAAGAACTCAGAAATCGAAGCAAGGGGCAGCTCATGTCAGACTGAAGTGTGGTGACCAAAAGGAAGCAAAGGAGATTGCAGTCCCTGTAAGGGAAAGTATGTCTAAATCTTGTCCTGGGCAGAAAAGCAGAAGCTCTCTTCAGCTGCTAAAAAATGTACAGAAACTTCAGTCGACACTGAAAAAAGATCGTATCATGTAGGAACAATAGTTCTGAAGTTTACTGTGTTAGAAGTTTTTGAAATTGTCTAACAGTGAGTAAATTTTTAATTTAACAAAATATCTTTTAAAAATAAAATAGATGTAGCATAGATATAGATATACATTCTAAAATGCCTACTCACTAGGAGGTCAGTTTGTTCGCTTCAGAGTTAACTTTCATGTAGAGTAGCTATAATTCAACTACACTGACTTCTAATAAAGTATTTTAATGGATTAATGACATGCTTATTTGTTAACTTGTGAAATAAAATCTTATGCTTTTTTTTACACTTAAAATAGTGTGTGATCTTTGATGCCCTGTTTCCCCTGCTGCCAAGGAGATACTTGCAGATTGCATTTCCAGAATGACTTGGGCCAGTGCTTCTATTCAAATAAAAACAGTGGTTTTCCTTTTCTCTAATAACTGAATATTCAGATCATTGCAACTGAGGCAGAAGAAGAGATATTGTCTCTTATTTATATGCAGTTTCATTATTATTAATATTATTGCTCTGCAACCTTTATTGGCAGTCAGTATTACTGAGACAACTAGGAATTGGAAGCAAAACCCATGACATGGTTAAACCAAGACAACATGAGAGTGTTCTTGATACGTACAGGGAAGGGGCCACTACCAAAAGCCTGAGTGCTTATCTTCTCATCAACAGAACCTGCTTCTACCATATTATAAAAAAATTGAGCTGTTATAGAGGAGACCTTGAACTGCGTACCAGTACGTGTTGTGGAATTTGTGATCTCTTCTACCAGAGCTTACAGCTTTCCTGAGTACAGCAGTTTTCTGTTGTTTTAGGTAGGCTCAAGGATTCAGCAAGGAGAAAGACACACGTGGTAAGGCTCAATACCAGCACTATTTATTAGTCAACAAAATAACTCATTCACTCTTCTGTTTCAATCACTTCATCTATCTCCGGCTGTTTTGCTTGTGGGAGAACAGAACCGCGGATCAAGACTCCGCACTCGCCTCGTACTGTAAGTACATCTCAGTCACTCACACACAAACAGGACAGACAGAATACAAGAGTTAAGAGGTATGGTGATTACATGTGGGTTTTATATGTATACATATATATATATATATGCGTACCTAAAAATCCTACAAGCGGTTTGCCTATATGCTGCTCTTAACCCAAACCTACTTACAAACTCGCCAGCACTACTGCTCCTGATGTGATGACCATGGTCGACCCTTGGATATTGTTGCGCTCCAGGGTGGAGGGTGACAGGCACTTCCTGCAGCAGGCGTCCCTGCGGAGACTTCGGTGATGGAGTGCATCTCAACCTGTTACCCCTATGCAGGCTGTGTTACACCCTTCGTCCCTCCACGTAGGGCCCGTACGTGGCAGGAGGAGTGGGACAACACTCCGCCTTTTTTGTTATATAAGATGCCAACTGTCTGTGCACGGCAGCTGGGGGCGTCGCCCCAGTGGTCTGCCTTCCTTGCTAGGTCTTCCTCTTCTCACGTCTTGCATATTTGCTTTCTCTTTGCCAAAAGTTCGGAGTTTCTGCTAACTCGGTTCTGGAAAGTCCCAGTCTTGCTCCATCAGTTCTGAAACATTGTATCCAGTCCATCGGCTGAGCTATAGTCCCATCTTTGTTCTACCAGCTCTGAAGCCCTGTGTCCCGTCCAGCTGCACACAAGGTTTTCCTCTTCTCCCGCTCAATGTTGCAACTAGCAGATCACCACTTGCACTCCCGCTGAAAAAAGCAAAACTCGAACAACTGATCAGTACAGCGTCGCCTAATCAATGGAAAGTCATTCAATCAGTGGACCCAAATGACATTTGTGCGTCAACTTTTTTACGCTCCCCTGCATCTATACTCATATAAATGCAATATGGGGTCTTCATGCTAAAGGTGAGTCTGCTCTTTTCCAAGCTCCACTATGTACCTATGGTAAAAGACATAGCAGTGACTTTGAATCAACGCTGGTTATTTAGTGGCAATAAATCCTTGTCTTGAGATTACTACTACTGATTCTCCCGGGTGTTTACATATGGCAGAATGAAATAACTTCCTCAGGATGTACCAGTGACGTTCTTCTGCAGATGTCTGGTATAAAGAAAATGCAGTGGTTTTCTCAAGGTCCTGTACAGGTAAGAATAAAAATTGGAGACGTGTTTTGTTGTCAGGGGTGTTGAATAAAGGCTAGTAACAATGTGTGGTCCTAATGGAAAGTTAGGTCTGTGCATCAGTAAGTTTTGCTCTGGTGCCCTTCAAGACAAAGGATTAGGAAAAATTTCAGACCATTAACAAATTTAGGAAAGACTGTTACCATCTTTGACAGGAGTTGTGTGTGTGAGCTTTTAGGGGTTAAGGGGGTTGTTTATATGCCCTGAACATCTTTATCGGGACTGTGGAAGACCAGGTTGTTCAGCTGATAATCGGGAATGGGTTTTCTCCACTTTATTAAATTGTATAGATGTCCTTCTTACTTATGGATTATCTCTAGCTGAGAAAAACATGTCGTATGCTTAAAAACACTTAAACACAGTTCTAAACAGGGTATTTTCCTGGTATAGATAGTGTTTTTGAGATAAGTTTACGCGTTTCTGGACACTGGAATTTCTGATACCAGAGACAAAAGAAAACTAAACATTTCTGCTATTAACATTTTCAGATTGTAGATATTCTGTTGCCACGAGATAAGCCTTTGCCATTCCTAGGGGCAGTTAAATAATCTCTGAAGCTCTGTAGTCATGTTTGAGAGAGCAAGCGAGACGGGCCATACCAAGCCCTACTAAAGCATTATATTTCATATGGAGGCCCAGCCCTAGGCAAAACGCATCAGCTGCTGGATTGAGAGAGAAAAATTGCCAGCAATTTGCCTTAGATGCAAAAAAACAGATAGGACAGCTTTGCACAGTGGCAGGGGAGGAGTGACAGCAAGAAGGGTGCTGGGCTTACGGCTGGGGGCTGAGGCCATCGCAGCTGCTGTAGCTTGGGATTGCTATAGGGGCTGCTGGGCTGTCCGGGCAGAGAGACCACACATCAGTCACCTGCTCCCTCTGTGCCTTGGCCTGGTGTTTTTGTTGACTATAGAAACCTGGGTAGAGGAGGCCATTTTGGTGCTGGAGAAGGAGGGCTCTGGCTCTTCTCTTGGACAAGGGGTTGCAGTGGAGGGCAGCAGCTTTGGGTCAGTCAACCATGTACTGGATGGGGCAGTGCTTAGATGATAAAAGCATTGAACAGTCAGTCTTCAAAATCTGTGTGCTGACAGGGGCTGGCCAGTCCCACAATAAAACTGCTGGGGTTGCCTTTCTGTGGGGCGAATGGCTGGGGGGG